TACCTGTTTCTTCCTTCTGGTTAGGGATTATTATTGTAATTTTTTTTTTTTTTTTTGCAAGGAAGGGGGTAATTTTTCACTCCTGTACGGGTGTGCTCCCTCTCGTTGGCCTGTTGAAGGGCCTCTTATTGTTGTTTTTTTGTTGTTCTTACGGAAGCTTTCTCGTTACTGTTTACACAATGCCACTTGTGCCTGCCCTGGGCCCGGTGTCCTGCCTGTCCCTGACACACCAGAGCCCAGCCAAGGAACCAGGGGCTTGTGTTCCACCCACGGAATTGGAGGAAGTTAAAAAAAAACCCAGGATAACAAGAAAAGAATGATTTTAAATCCATTGCCAAGTTGCTGCTCCAGGCCTCATCCTCCTGCCCTGGCTGCTGAACCCACCAGCAAAGCCTGACCTGAGCAGGATTTGGGCTTTTTTTTATAGCTAAGGCAAAAACTGGCTTTTCTTGCTTTTCCTTTTTAACCCAGCACAGCCCTGGTCACTGCCAGGCAGAGGGATCCTCACCCTGCTCTCCCAGCTGATTGAGACTGAACACTAATTGCTCCATCCTTAGCCATGGCACCAGCTGAGAACTAACACAGAGACTGACACAAACCTCTCCTGCTGGTGAGGGAGGGGTTCATCCCCTTGTATCCTGGTGATGGAGGCTTTTTTATCCCTGTGGTGAATGGGTTTTTATCCTGGAGATGGAGGCGTTTTTGTCCCGGTGATGGAGCTGTTTTATCCTGGTGATGGAACAGTTTTATCCCAGTGATGGAACCATTTTATCCCAGTGGTTTTAGGCACAAATAAGTCAGTTTTCCCCTACTCTTGCTTGCCTTTTTCCCCCCAAAACCTGTCACCAGGAGCTTGGTGGCATTTAAAGCTCCACCACAGCCTCTTGCAGGTGATGGGGGTCCCTGGGGACCAAATTTGGGGTCCAAATCCCTGGGTCTCAGCATCTCCTGACCCCCAACTGTCCCCAAACTCTGCTGCTGTTCCTGAGCCCCCGGGGCTGCTTCACCTGCCTGGGGCAGCCGTGAGAGAGGAAGCACTTCTGAGAAGTTGCCTTTATTTTAGGAAAGAGGAAGGGCTGGAGCCGTTGCGCCACACAAGAGGGGATGTTCACAGTGTTCAACTTCCAGATTTCCCAGCACAGCCTTCCCTGGGATTTTGGATGCAAAACTTGCCTTGAGATTGCCTTACAGAAAGCTTTTTTTTATTCCTGTTTTCCTTAAAACTGCAATACAGGTGGGAGCCCTCAGGAGCATTAACATTTAGCAATTAATTTGCAAACCAGCAAACACAAAAGCCTCGTTGGGCTGAGTTAGGGAATTGCAACAAAAACCCAGCCTCTAGGACAGGGTTTTGCAGGTTCAAGGAGACAAGGACAGGAGATGAAAGGCAAACAGCCCAGGAAGCAGCCATGAGAGCAAATGTGGGTTTATAAATCAAACTATGAGGCTGGGAACCATCAACTGGAGAAACCATTTAGGTTTTCCTTTTGTGCCTCCCCATTGCTTGCTCTTGCTCTCTCCTGGGCTTTGTGCATTTAGAGCAGGCAAAGGCTTTTTTTTCCCCCTGCTTTCTCTACACTTGTGCCTGAAACTGGAGCATTAAGAGCAAATTGCCCTGGTCCTGCAGCAGTGCCAGCCCCGGAGAGGCTGATGCAGGAACAAAGGCAGCCCTGTCCTCGCCGGGCTCCTCAGCTGTATCCGCATCCCATTCTCCTCCCTGGAGCAGCACAAAGGCTGCAGCCAGAGGCAGGAGCACATCCCCGGGGCTGCCTTGTGCCAGGCAAGGCAGCTCCCTCCCAGGCTCATAAATAACTCCCCGTGCTCTTGCATTTATGGGGATGGGGAAGGGAAGAGGGGACGGCGCAGCACAAGTTGTCGTTTCCTTTCCCCCGCTGGCTGCCCGCTTCCCAAAGCCTTGGAGAACACAGGGGTGTGCTAAATCTTGCTGAGATTGCTGGTTTTAGTCCCACGGAGCTCCAGGGAGCTGTGCTCAAAGGGGTTTTCCCCCAAAAGGCGAGGTGGAATCACCCAGATCTCCCGACATCTGCAAAGAAAGGACAGGCTGGGAAAAGGCAGCGCTATTCACATCCCCTGCCAGATGAATCCAGAGAAATCCTTGCCAGATAAATCAGATGCTGCTGGGGTGGGTTGTTTTGGCACGCCAGGACTTTATTGTTCCAGTGCCAGAACTGAAACATGCGTGTGCATGTGGTATTTTTAACCTGCAGTTTAATTACAAGGGGGTTCTCCGCAGTTTAAATGGAAATTGCTGTGCTTGATTAGTAAAATACACGTTGGGTTCATTATCTCCCTGCCAGCCACTTCCCCCATGCAAACAAACTCCAGTGGGGGAGAACTCCTGTCCTCCCCACCAGCGAGCAGTGGGAGAGTCCCTCTGATTATTTAATTTAATAATTATTGAACTGATTCCATCCCCAAACTCACTCACAGGCAGCCGAGGGCTGTCCAGCCCTGCCAGCTCCACCAGCTCCTCGTTTCACATCCATTGCAGGGGATTTTTGGGCTATTTCCCAAGCTCCCAGGGGGAGCTGAGTTTGAAATCTCATTTCTCCTAGAAAACATCTGGCTTGTGACACAGGTCAGAGCTCTGCTCCGGCCAGCACGTTACTGCAGCCCTCAGGTACTCACTCCTCTGCATTACAGCAGTGGGCAAACAGCATTAAAGCCATTCCACTCTATGGAATAGAAGCATTTTTCAGGATTTTTATGTTGTTGTGACTTGAGAGAAGAGCGCAGGGCTGGGCAGGTTTGGTTCCCCAGCCCCTGTGGGTTTTTACTGGCGTTTGTGGGAGTTTTGGGAGGAGGGGAAGCCAAGGGAGCAGTTTGTGCCTTGGCCCTGGCGATGGGCACGTGGAGCTGGAGTTTGGATCCCACCTAAGGAAGGCAGGAGCCACAGGAGCAGCTCCTGGAGCTGGCCCTGCCCCAAGGTGTCCCCCTGGAGAGGCTGGAGTGGGGGCAGCTCCATTCCATCCAACACAGGATGGGTTTGAGCAATAAAAATGAAAACCAAGCAGTGCCTTTGCTCTGGGACAGCAGGGACAATCCAAAATTGGGCCCTGCCAGAATTCCTCCCCCTCCTCTTCCTCTTGCTGTTTGCTGATGGCCACTCCTGCTGGGCGGCCTTTGTGTCCCCAAGGGTGTCAGGTTCTGAAGGAGCTCCTGACATGAAGCATTAGTGGATTTCTCCCTCTCTCCCTCTCTCCCTCCCAGCCCAGCAGGTACCGAACACTGACACCACCACTCCTCACCCACCCCTTTGGATTGAAGCGATTTTGGGGTGAAACTTCTAGGAAAACATCCAGGGAGAAGCCAAAGCTTCTCATTCCTCATCTGGACCACCAAAGCCTGGTGTCATCCAGCATTCCAAACTTTTAGCTTTGATCCCAACAGCCCCAACGTTCCCCAGCAGCTCCAGAGGCAGGGAGGTGACTCTGCATTCCCTAACTCAGCCTTCAGCAGGACGATTAAAGCCAACAGTTTTGTTGGGAGTGTATTAATTTGAAAGTTCTACTTTTCACCTGCACAGAAAAGTTCTTCTTGTATAGTAAATTTTTTTCTATATATTGTTTCTGTATGTACTGTACAAGTAACTTATTCTTGAATAATGCGATTTTACCATAATATTAAAAAAAAAAAATTCTGTTCTTAATAAACTGTTTTTAGAACTTGTTTCTCACTTGTAGTCTTCAGTCTGGTTCTCTCCAGGTGCCTGGACGTTGTTTTAGTGGATAATGGATGCTAAAAGGCAGAAATGCTCCCTTGGACATGAAAATCCTTTGGTTTATCCCCATGGGATGATGCCTGCACTGCACAGGACGGGGCACTTGGAGCAGGGATAACTTCATCTCCCCATTTTTTAAGGCATTTTCCCAGGGAATTCTTACCTTTCCTTTCCTTCTCCAGCAGCACCACTGAGTTTTACACTTCCATCACCTTAAAGGCCCATTTGGGACCTTTCCCAACCCCGTGGGGAGCAGCCCAAGGCTGAGGGATCAGCAACACAAAATCACCTGGGCACAAAACCTCGTTAGAAAAACAGCTGAATTTGGGATTCCCAAACCTTTCCCTTATTCCTGCAATGCCCCTGCAGCACACAACAGACTCAGGCTCAAACCCTGGCTCCAGCTGGGATTGGTACGGGAAGAGACCCAAAAATCACCACACAAACACCGAGGAGGGTCAGTTTTTAAAACTTTTTTTATTTTTTAATTTTTTTTTAAGTTTTTATTTTATATTATCTACAAAGTAAAAGTTTTCTTAACTTAAAAGTTACATCACTGTCTCACGATAGTGATTATCTCATCAAACGTGATTTATAAATAATAACTCATCCGTTTGACGATTAGAATTTTTTTTTTTTTTTACTGAACCTGTTTCAAGTTTAGTTAGAAGTAAAAGGGATCTCCAAGTCTTGATTTTTAGTGATAATAGCAGCAAGAATCACTCTTGTTACTTCTTTTGCTAGCTGACGAGTTCATAACTTTGAAGGGTCATTAAAAAATAAATAACTTCCAGTTTTTCAGCAAGCAGAGTTGGGGCACTTGCAGGACTCAGATACAGTGCATGGAATTATGGAATAGCCCACAAGTTCCTAAATGCCTCTACTCAGTCCGAATCTCTCCCACTGCAAGATGAACTGTTAGCATTCCTAGTGGATGTTACAAGAAATCAAATTTTTTTTTTTTTTAAACAAAATAAAATGAAATTCTAGTTTTCTGTGCTTCCAGTTGGCAGAAGCAGTAGAAGGAGGGTATTTGGCCTACAAAAGGTATCCAGCCTTTCAGTTATTCCAGATGAGCCTTACAACTGCTGTTGGTGGTGGGCTTGTACTGTAAAAAAAAAGTTCAAATGTAAATAATAAATTGGCAAGCCACACAACAGTTTGCTAGTAAAGTGGTCACAGGACAACTACTGAGCTCAACTTTCTTTTATTTTTATTTTTTTTTCTCTTTTTCTTTTATTTTTTTAGAGAACAAAACAAAACCCTGCACATCAAGATGTCCTTGGGATGTTTTATTTTTTTTTCTTTTTCCCTACCTAAGCCCTCAGAAAGCAGCTTTGTTCTGCTCACACATTCCCCAAGAAACATCAGGTTAAACTAAATCACTACAGAAGTTCAGAGGCTGTTTGAACTTGAATAATCAAAGAAACCTAAATAAGGTTAAATTTAAAGCGGAAAGAAGTCACACAACTCCTACTTTTCCCCCAAAGCAAAGCTGCAGAATGTTACTCTGAATTAAAGTTTAGATTTCAGTTGTCACTTTACTTTAACAGC